CCTGAAAGGCAGGTCGTAAAAACGTTTACAAACGCCTATACAGTCACTGTATAATGGACTGGTAAGCTTGAAAAAAAACTTACAATTTCCATAATGAACTTGAAATCAGGAAGTGTACTCATACCAAAACTTCATGCCACTTATCCCACCTACTAACCCCTGTACTTGAGGACAATCTGTCGTCCCTAGGCTCGGCCTCGACAAGATCCTCAAGACCACCCTACTAATACCAAAGCCTCACCATCTCATCATAAAAAAAACAACTTTAAAGTTCCGCCGCATTAGGTCCGCCAAGTTTCCTTCCCGTCATGCTAAGAAAATTACGTCAAGTGCTAAACACAATCAGACTCGCCTTTATTACGTCAAAGCCATCGCCTCTATACACTTCTGCCAAAATGAACACACAACCAGGTAGGCTTTCAATTACTGCTCTTTCCAAACATACCGCTAGGTGTCGTCCTTACACTGTAGGCCTGTGACAGGTCCCACAATGCACCTCACTCAACTTTGACCTGCCCCATTGCATGACGGGAAACAAAATGGCGGCGCCCATAAAATCCAGGTAAAATAGAACAGGTTTTGCTATCGCAAACCTGTAACTACGTAAAATTATACAGGTAAAAATTTGTGGTGTTGATGGTGTTTTTGTTGCATTATTCATTTTTCTAAGTTCTATATTACAGTTTTTGGAAATGTGATTTTTATGTGCTCCAAACAATGTCGAAATATTGATAATAATTCTTAAAATTAATCTGTAGCGCTGGACGGAAATAAACAGTTGAAATAGATATTTTATGACTGTCACATGCTCCATTTTGTGTCTTTACTGTGAATTGCTTTCTTGTACGGGAAGATAATGAATGAATGAATGATTAGCCGGATTTCAAAAAAAGGTAAAGGAATTTAAAAAGATTCAAATTCTAAAAAGATTTGCACGGCTCTTACACTACTACTTCTCGGCATTCCCTTGCCTGATTAAGAAAAATACTTTAGCCCCATGTATCAAATTTGGAGTCTGTGGTGAATGGCATCCACAAAATCTATTTGCTGTGGCCCAAACTAATTTTCGATAACCAGTAATTTTAAAGCTCCTTGATTTATTTTAGCCAGCTCTCAAAAAAAGACAAAGCAAGTTTTCTTTTCCCCATTGCATCAAATTTGGAGTCTGTGGAGAATAGCAACCATTCAATTTATCTGCTGTGGCCCAATAACTAATTTTCAAAAACCAATAATGCTCCATCTAACATGATTCCCACGGCGCTTATACTACTACTCATCAGCATTCCCTTGCATGCATAAAAAGATAGGGTATTTTTTTCCCCATCGCTTTAAATTTGTAGTCTGGCATCCACGAAATTTATTTGCTGTGGCCCAAACTAATATTTTCGATAACCAATAATCTTCCTGCTAATTTCACACGGCTCCTACACTACTACTTCTCGGCATTCCCTTGCATGCTTTAATTTTTAAAAAAGGCAGGAATTTTTTTGCCCATCGCTTAAATTTAAGAGTCCGGCATCCACGAAATTTATTTGCTGTGGCCCAAACTAAATTTTTTTTAACTAATAATCCTCCTCCGAAAAAGATTCGTACAGCTCTTACACTACTACTTCTCGGCATTCCCTTGCATGGATCCCGCCAAATCCCCGTCCCAGCGGACCAATCAGGGGGCGTGTAGCGGGTCACGTGAGACGAAGTTGACCTACGTGATCAGCAACCTTCGATGTTGGCCGAGTCCAGAATGGCGGAAACATCGTCCGAACGCGCCTCTTTCCCCCTCAAATCGTGAAACCGCGCCGCTAGAGGATGCCGAGGGCTCGGAAGAATGCAGGTAAGCTTGCAAGACGGTCCTAGAAGCGGGGAAGGACCCGCGAACGCCGGGGGAGTTCGGTAGGGGGAGGGGTGGGGTGCCATGTTGGTAGCAGCACCTCAGACGATAGCTTGCATGCTTCCCTGCGATCGGCGCTGAGCAGAAACTGGCTCCTTGTTTACGCGATCGGGACATGTAGGGACCCAAACATGCCCTCCCTGCACCAAACACCGCAAACAGCGCAGCTCCAGCCGGCTATTAGCGGTCTAGGGACCCGCCGGGAAGTCTTGGTGTTATCCTGGGTGTGTGGGACTGACTGTGTTTACTACGGTTCGCTTTGCAGGCTCCAGTGTAGATATGCAAACGCCCCCCTCCCCCTTTTCACATACACATACACACACACACACTTACACTTTACACAACTGCACATTCATGTACACACACACATACATACATACACACACACACACAGAGAAAAAGAGAAAATTGCATTAAGTTAAAATTGCATCTTCTGATGAAAGTTGTCCTGCAAATGACAACACAACATTCCACATTCCCACCACATAAATTATCACCCAACACAGACACACACACACACACACACACACATGCACGCATGCACACACTCATACACAGACACACACACACACATAGAGCACAGGACAGTTGTTTAGTTGTTGTGTTCCATGTTTGTGTGTTTGCTGGTTTGTTGGGTGATTAAGTGGTAGGGAATGTGGGGTGTTGTGTTGTCATTTGCAGGACAATTTTCATCTATTATTAATGGAGTTCAACTTTGTGCATTTTTCTCTCCTTTGTCAAAGCAGCAATGATATAGAATTGCAATAAAACTTGATAGAACCATCAAATTAACTCTCTGTGTATGATATAATTTTATAAGCACTTACCCTTGTTGTGTTTTCATTGATGTTTTCATTTGCAGGAGAAATTGCACCAAATGTTAAATAGAGTTTAACTTTATGCACCTCTCTCCCACATGTATCGTATAATCATCATATCAACAGTGATACAGGATTACAGCGGAAGTTATTGCAATATTGATATCCCAAAATATCCAATTAACTTTCGGTCTTTCACATACATTTTTATAGGCACATATCACCTCCCCAATCCTTGTTTGTATTTATAATTGTGTACCTTTTAGTGTTTTTGTCAGCATCAGACTTTTGTTGAAATGTTGTTGTTGATGATGTGTTCACAGTGGAATATTTGTAGTACTAAGTTAAAGTAAGGAGAGAGAAGACATGGCCATTATGTCTGTAACTTATTTTTCCTTGTAGGCGAATACTTCCCTATGTTCAGTTAATTTGATTCTTGTTGTATCCAGAACCGTGCCTGACCCTAACCCATTCAGGCATAACACTAGATAGGCACGGTTCTGGATATGATAATTCTGTCAAGAACTTATAAATAATTTGAAAAATCACCTGCCGTTTCTTCCTGGAAGGCAGAAGTTGTGCTTTTTTTTAAATTGTTTCAAGAATGATAATTTTTAGAAAATTTCTAAAAACTTTTAACCTCATTGAAAAAATCGTACAATGTAACACTCACACCAATACAAACATCTTGCATACTAATGCAGATCCTTGAAGCTTGTCCATCTGCACAGTTACTGAGTTAGCCTGGTACCCAGACTGTTTAAGGCTGCAGTAACACGTGTGTTCCCTTACAGAACCAGAGGCGCGAGTTGACCTGCGTGGAGCCTGGGAGCTAGCCTATTCAGCACAGTTAGCCTGGTGCCCAGACTGTTTAAGGCTGTAGTAACACGTGTGTGTTCCTTTACAGAACCAGAGGCGCGTGTTGGCCTGCATGGAGCCTGGGAGCTAGCCTATTCAGCACAGTTAGCCTGGTACCTAGACTGTTTAAGGCTGCTGTAAAACCTGTATTTTCCCTTACAGAACCAGAGGCGCGTGTTGACCTACGCGGAGCCTGGGAGCTAGTTTATATGCACAGTTAGCCTGGCACCCAGACTGTTTAAGGCTGCAGTAACACCCCTGTTTTCCCTTACAGAACCAGAGGCGCGTGTTGACCTCCGCGGAGCCTGGGAGCTAGTCCAGGTGGCCCAGTTCCTGCGACTCTTCAGACAGAAGTTTGGGTTTGCAGACATCAACACACAGGTACAGAAAAAACTGTTGTTTGTGTTCCCTTTCCACAACTGTCAGTTGTCTCCCCAAATATTTTTTTGGGAGAGGTGCTCCTGGGGACTCTAATCGGTTGATGTTGTGGAAAATCAGAGAATATTTATAAAAATACCAAGAGAAAACACTAAATTTGAACGTTTAATTAATGTTCATATTTTAAAACTTAGTAACTTTCTTTTTGTATTGGTCCTGCATCTTTTCCCCCCAACGAACAGCCCAGTATTAGTTGGGCAGCCTTGTCTGTATCTTTATACTCAGGATTCTAGCTAGGATTTAATTTTAGCGTAGTGGTACTGGCTGCATGTCAAGGGAGCAAAGCGACCGAGAGGGGGGGATGGGGCAGAGCTTTTAAAAAATTGAGCTAAAAAAAAGGGGGCCATTTGAGGGATACCCAAAGGGAAAAAATGTTATTTCTAAGGTATATACAATGTATCCTTGATTGGTAATTGTTCACATTTGATCTGGCATTCTTGAACAAAGAAATACAGTCACAATGCCTCTGTGCTGTATTGGAAATGTAGCGTAGGGGGTCAAAATTATAGCGTAGGGGGTGAAATTTAGTGTAGGGGGTGAAAATTGTAGCGTAGGGGGCCCCTACACTACTTCGCGCTAGCTAGAACCCTGATACTAACGAATGAATAAATAGATAAATAAAAAGGACTGTGTGGTTGATGTTGTTGTTTACATTGACATTGTTGTTGTTTACATTGTTCTTTACCATGTTTATGTAAACACTCGCTCTTCATTGTCGTTGACATTGTTTTTGGTCATGCAGTTGACGTTGTTGTGTACATTGTTTTTGATGTTGTTGTTGTTTACCTTGTTGCCCCTAGCGACTGGAGGCAGAGCTGCGTCAGCGTGAAAGCGTTCCCGTTGCTGACACGTTGGCCCGTCTGCTGCGTTACCTGCTGAGCCGTAGCGATATCAGGTGAGGCATACGTTAATAAGGCCAATGTGTGATTTTTTTAATCCATCCAGTTGCTTGAGTAACAATTTCCAGGTGACTGAATATTTATGAAGGTTTATTATCAAGAGATGCGAAGACTGTAATTCATTTATGTTCACAGTAGCAAAAATTCGCGGTTTGAGAAAAGTTGACATGTTCACGGAACTATATATTCACGGTGGCGACAGGTGCAGGAAAAAGAAAGTCCAGGAATTATTTGTTAACTGTAATGATAAGTTCACGGTACAGAAGTGACAGTGAAAACAGTGAACATAACAGTGCAGTGGAAACATCAGGAATTACAGTATCACTTGAAACATTTTTAAAAATCCATCCAGTTGCATTAGTATTAAAATAACAATTTCCAGGTAAGTAAATATTTATTATATTATTAGTTTATTATCAATAGATGCGAATAATCAAAGATAAAACATGGGCAAAACTAATATATTACTACTACTAAGGTTTTTAGTTTTCATTCCTTCCTCATTACTAGGCACACAGCTCTACCAAGAAATGCAATATTGGTATGGCCTGACATAATACCTGTTGTTGCTGTATGCCTGAGATTTGTGTTTTATAAAACATGAAATTTCCATAAATCCTGACGTGTGCGTCATGCCCAGATTACAGATTAGGTCTAGCTGGAGGGGTGTCATATGGGGGCCGTCTCAAAGGTTCAGTTTCCTCCTATAAGGCCACCCCAATTTGATTTGTTCTCGGATTTTTTCAGAAAAAATGTGAAGCAACAGGGCAGAAAAAAAAGCAGACCTTAGCATCCTATGATAGCCCAAAATTCTGTGATATGAGCCATGGAGTCAACACAAAAGGCTGTGTAACCAATGGCTGCCCTTGGTCTTTGAACCTGATACATCCAATGTAAACAATAGCTGTCCTTGGTGGTTTAACCAATCAGGATGCCTGGTACATCCAGTTTAACCAATGGCTGTCCTTGGTGGTTTAACCAATCATGATGCCCGATACATCCAGTATAACCAATGGCTGCCCTTGGTGGTTTAACCAATCAGGATGCCTGGTACATCCAGTGTAACCAATGGCTTCCCTTGGTGGTTGAACCAATCAGGATGCTCGATACATCCAGTGTAACCAATGGCTGCCCTTGTACCTGCAGGTTGGGCAGTTGGGAGGCAGATGTGAAGAGAGTTTTGGCGGAAACCGGGGGCCAATGGAAGCCCTTCGCTACTGGCGCGGCGTACGCAGACATGGACCCCTACCAACGGGTAAGCCTGACGCTGTTGTTTGTGTGTTTATTAGAAAAAACAATGTTGTTTAGAAATCACGTGATTATGCAGAGTTGGTCCCTAGAGTGTAACATTTACATTACAGATGAAGTCTCAGTTCCTGGCAAACTGATGTTGATAAGAAGCTAACATGGCACTGCCGAGTCGGTCCCCCTTTGACATAAATTCATGGCAAACTGACTTTGATAAGAAGCCAACATGGCACTGCCGAGTCGGTCCCCGTGTGACATAAATTCATTGCAAAAGTCTCTGCAGACAGGAAATGAAAATGCTGACATCAGCAGACCTCAGAAACTGCATTTTCTGGAAATTTACGCCAAAAAAACAGTTACTGAAGCAACTGGATATGATTTTGGAAACGGTCAGACGTTTCAGGTAGCATCCACTAGCTTTCATCAGTGACACTGCAGGGCTTGAAATACTTTTTTTTCAGGTACGTGCAAAATTGCACATTGGCAAAAATTCTAGGTGCAATTTGAAAAATCTATGTGCAAAATTATATTTATGTTGATGAAGGTTAGACATCCAGGTAATAAGATAGGCCAAAAACAGTTACTCAAGCAACTGGATATGATTTTGGAAACAGTCAGATGTTTCAGGTAGCGTCCACTAGCTTTCGTCAGTGACACTGGAGAGTTGTGAGAAAGGCAGGTTTATATTATAAGTACCAAGTATTGATTGATGTAAATATTGATTGATGTAAATAAGTGAAGACAAATTGTGGGAATTTAGCCTGGGTCGGAGGCCCTACGGCAGCAGACATTTCTACAGGCAGCCTGTTACCAGTCTTTTGCCAGCCAGGTTAGGCTACCAGCGTGCAAAATACTACTATTGAGTATTACTAGGTTGTACAGTTACACAGGGCAACCATATTTTGTCAAGTGAAACCTAGTTAGGCTACCAGCGTATAGAATACTATATTGTCCAGTTGTGCTAGGCAACCATTTTTTGCTTAGTACAACCTGGTTAGGCTAGCAGCGTATTATTACTTGGTTGTCCAGTTGTGCTGGGCAACCATATTTTGTTTTAGTGTAACCTATTTCTACAGCCATGTAGCCCAGTGTGCTACCTATAGCTAGATGTTGTGGTAAGGATGACCCTTTTGGGGGGGGGGGGTGTTTGGAAGCGCTCACTTGGAGTAGGGGGAGACAGGTCTTTGCTAGAAATATGTAAAATGCACATTGCATCTGAACAAAGTAGGTCATGATGCAAAGAACTTGTCTTGTGCAGCTGAAAGATTTTGACAATCTAGCATAGTTGCCGCTGTTTGAGCATAGGGGCCCCCTATGCTGTGATTTAGCCCCTACACTGTCTTTCAACCAGCGTAGGTGTTGTGGGGGGAAGAACCTTAAAAAATGAGACTATAACTTCAGTATGACGCTATAAGAAAGGGAAAACCCTCAATAAGTGAGAAATTGTGTCTCAGGAGGTTATGATTTTCAAAATCTTTTTGCAAGAATACCAGACCTGCTGTGGTCATGTTTTTGGGGACTCAATGCACGACTTGTGCCACAGAAAGTTGTCCTTCTGTACCTGACCACTATGCTGTGAAAAATTCTGGTGAGCACAGTTCTAGTACAGTAACAGAATGTTCTGTTGAGAACAGTATGACAGTAGCACAGTTTCAGCACAGTAACAGGATGTGCTGTTTTTTGTCCAGCTCGTTTTCCTGAAGGGTGTAGCGGACCACGTGTTTGAGGAGAAAGTGGAGGAGTTGTCCGAGTATCTCGACGAGACGTATGACCCTGAAGACATGGTGAGCACTTTCACTTTTCATGTTCTTAAAGAAAAATGGCTAGCACTTTTACTTTTCCGTGATGTTCATTGCAAATGACTATTACAGACTATTCTTTAGTACTATAATATTGACATTATATTTACCTTTGCAATAGGAAACAAATGAAATTGGTTTTGCTCCATTTCTTCTTCCCTCCCAAACAAATAAGGTCAATGACCTGGACCAGACAGCTGTCACCATAGTAACCAGTGCTGTAGCGGACACCCTGTGGTGTTGTGTTTGTAACCTGTTGGTTTTGTCTTCCCTGCACAGAGAGCTGTTCCAATCGGTCAGGACAGTCTGAAGCACACCTACTGGTACTTCGATGGTGAGTACAGATCTTTTTTTGTCATGTTTGTTTAGTTGTTATTTCTTTTTTTTTTTTTGTTATTCCTCTGAATTTTGTAGTCCATGCTAATGACAGTAACCTGTCCAACGTACAGTATGTTCTACTGACATGCTGAAATGCACACATGCTGGCTCTGTTACTATGTGACTATAACGGCTTCTTTCCTCTGTTTCCTTCTGTGTGGAACTCCTTGCCACCACATGTACGAGCAGCCCAGTCATTGGGAACATTTAGAAGTATGATACTTGGACTGATAATGGACTGATGATTACTATTTATTTTTGTATTATATCTTTTTAATTTGATTTGTAATCCGTGACCCCGCCCTCACCCTCGACCTTGTTGAAAAGCGGTCATATGTATGTACCGAACAAGCTTTTGAGTTTCAATAAAGGCTTACTACTTCTACTACTACTACTTCTCAGACTTGCGACTGTACAAGGAGAGTGTGGGCAGGAAGGGGGAGAAGTGGGAGTGCATCTGCAGCAGTCTTAAGGAGTGGACGTCGTTTGTCAAGAAGTTTCGGAAGACGACGCATCCGCAGGAGAAGGAGCTGTACGAGTTTCTTCACGGTCAGCTTCTGCCGCTGATCCTGGGCCCCCTGCAGACCCTCGAGGGATTCACTCAGGTAAGTAAACCCCCCATTCACACCCTTAGTGACATCTCCCCAAACACACCCACGTACACAGCTGCTGCCGCTGATCCTGGGCCCCCTGCAGACCCTCAAGGGATTCACTCAGGTACGTAATCCCCCATTCACACCCTCACACACAGCTCCTGCCGCTCATCCTGGGCCCCCTGCAGACCCTCGAGGGATTCACTCAGGTCAGTATCCCCCCATTCACACCCTCACACACAGCTGCCGCTCATCCTGGGCCCCCTACAGACCCTCGAGGGATTCACTCAGGTAAGTAAACCCCCCATCCCCCCATACACACCCACATGTAAATCAACACACACACAGACTTACACATTTAAACACATGTATAACTTGATCTTCAGAAAGCTTGACAAAACAAACTGGTTGATTCAAGCATGACAATTTACTCTGAGGAATTTTGATACCTGCTTCTCGAGTGGAGCATTCCTTAAAGATTGTGGTTCCTTCCTTCAGGATGCGGACAGAAGAAGGTTTGAGACGGCCGAGTTCTTAAGAAGGGAGGAGGAGGAGGTGAACCAAGTCTCCCGCCTCTCCAGACACGACAGCAGCAACAACATCAGCAGACACCGAGGACCCCTGGCAGTCCCGAGCAGTACTGCAACGTCAGCTGCATCAGTAGCACCACCTGAAAATGCAGTAGGTTTTTTTCACTGTATTTCCTGATTTTTTCCAGTTTTTGCTTGTTTGTGATTACAAAGCCAGGTGCAAGGGGCCAGTTCTGGCCTAGGCATTTAGGCAGGTAGGCAGGTGATTACAAATGTTGAAAGCAAATGTTGAAAGGTTTGCGGAAGTTTCTCAACATGAAAACTCGTTTGTATCGTCTAGTCATTGTTTATTTCATATATAATAATCAAGTTTTTAATGTATGTATTTCTGTACAAATCTTAACACACACATAGGTGATATCCCTAATCAACAAAATTCATACATTGACTGCAAAGTTGAGTGTGAAAATAAAGTTTCAAGTTTTAAAGTTGATGACAACATTAACTATCTCCCCCACCCCCCAGGCTGAAACTCAGCTGCCAGATTTGAAGCAGAACTCAGGCAAAGCCGAGCCTCTGGAGAGAGAACCAGACCTAACTGGTTCAAACCAGTTCAGAACTGACCCAACCAAGGATGGAACCGGTCCCAAACCGGATAGAACCAGTCCCAAACTGGACAGAACTGGTCCCAGTCAGGATGTTGTAACCAGTCCTAACCCAACCACCAGTCCAAACCAGGACAAAACCGGTCCGAACCAGCTGAGAACCAGTTCCAGCCAGTCTCAGGAGGACACAGCCGGTTCAGACTGGTCCAGCGCCGACCTGCCGCCGGTCAAACCCTCAGGAAAGAAGCGGAAACGAGAGACCTCCACGGATTCGCGGGACAGTAGCGGAACGGGACAGAGCGATACTAGCAAGGGAGACGCAAGTAAGTGATTATCACGCTATGATGTAGACATGCCAGTCTGTTGGTCAAAAAAGCCCTTTTGGAACAGTAATGTAGGGTGAAACTGTTGAAAGTTAAAACTTTTGATCCAACAACTTTGGTTTCAAACATTCACTGTACATTCTGCCGACATGCTGAATAACGTATGGTAAACCTACTCAGTATCATGAGTGCCAGCTAAGCTAACTGACCCCATACTGAAGCATGTAGTGTTGCTTCAGTAGCTACCAGACATCCAGGTCATGAGATACACAAGAAGACAGTTACTCAAGCAACTGGATTTTGAAAACTGTCAGACGTTTCAAGTAGCTTCCAGTCACTGATAAAAAGTAGCAGATGCTACCTGAAACATGGTTTTACCCCAAATGTGTATCAAATGTCGCTGACTACGACTGTTTCAGGAACGCCCGAGTTGATGGGCCCCCCTCCCGCGCCACCCCCCTCCAGCCTACCCCCTGTAGCGGACGCCCCCCCTCTGCAGAACCCCCCTGTGAAGAAACAACAGCAGTATGCCTACATCTTCTCCACAGAACTGGCAAACAAGGCAAGTCTGTTTTTATATTGTTTTTATTTTTCTATCAAGAGTTACCACATTTGTGGAAGTATATAGTAGAGGGGATTCATTCCTCAAGCTACCGACATCTTGCACACGCAGTCGTCCCTCAGTAAAAGAGTTACCACATTTGTGGAAGGATTGACATAACAGGTGACTATCACCTCTTCAAGATATCAACCCTGAGACTAGGCTGTAAGGTTTGAACCAATCACATAGGGAAGGTCCCCTACTACTTTTTTGTAAGTACAATAAGCTAGGTACTCACTTACACCTGAGTGAAGTGAAGAAGGTTGTGTTAAATGCCTGTCCAAAGGGCACATGGCAGGATTCGAACCCAGGACCTTTTGGTTCTGAGCCAAACACACTAACGCTATGCCAAACAACTCCACTTAAAATCTGTGGAGTTTTGTATCACACATAACTATAGAGGTTCAGCATCTGCTCCACGGAGCTTGCAAAGAAGGCAAGTCTGTGGAGTTTTGTCTTCATTGGCTTTAATTTGATCCACAATTAGCTTCAGTTTATACTTAGTTTTCAGTCTTGTACCACACATGAAGGTTCAGAGTTTGATGTAACCTGATCTGCCCTGTTCAGGCTGCGGAGGCAGTGCTCCAGGGGCGTGTGCAGTCCATCGTGGCGTTCCACATCGAGTACGTGACACGGCTGCGACTCAGCCGCATGCGACACAGCGAACAGGTGGGTGGGTTTAGAGTCATGGCTCCCTTAGTTAGCTGAGTTTAGAACTCAGAAATCTCTAGATTATTGACTACTGCATATTTTGTGTTGTCTATGTTATGTATTTTGCTTTTATCATGTACACATATAGTCAAAGTCAAATCAGATGCTCACCTTTGCCCTTCCCCAGATGCATTCTGTTAACCCTTGAACTTTGTCCTTCTCCATGTGCAGTCTAGTAACCCATGACCATTGCCCTTCCATGGTGCAGTCAGTTAACACATGACCTTTGCCCTTCCCCATGTGCAGTCCAGTAACCCTTGACATTTGTCTTCCCCACGTGCGGTCGGTAACCCATGACCTTTGCCCTTCTGGTTCATTCTGATAACCCTTGACCTTTGCCCTCCCCAGGTGCAGTCGGGTAACCCCTGGCAGCAGCTGCAGGCGAGCCAGCTGGGTTACGACCCGGGGCTGGGTTTGACCCCGTCGACCTTGCCGCCCCAGGCCCTGCCCTCCAAGCCGCCTCCGCCGTACCCGGGCAGCGCCACCGCCGAGGCGGGGGGGTACCCGGGCGGTTCCACTGGTGAGGCGGGGGGGAGC